ATGGGTTTTGGGGAAGAAGATTCCAGAGGTAAGGTGTCATTCCCATCATGCCATGTCAAGGGTATGTACTATCAATGTGGATTATCACTGTGGATGGTGACCTTGGTCACCTGTCTGAGGTGGTGTTTGATGGGTTTCTCCACGGTAAAGTCACTTTCCCCACATTTCCATGCTGTCCTTTTTGGAAGGAAGTCACTATGTGGAACTCACACTTAAGGAGTGGGAGGTTACACTCCACAATAACTATTTGGAATATTTATGCATAAGGGGTTTTGTCCATTCTCCTCCATGTATATAGTCGGTCATTCATTTATGTCAGAAGGGAGTCATGGATATTCATGGTATACTTTGAATCAGAATCCATTACTCATGATTTGTTGCTCATATTGTTCCAGATTTGGACACCGGAAGCTCTTTCCATTGACTCTTGTGTTCCTATGACCCACAGTCATCATTGTGTATGTGTGTGTTTAGTACTCTCACATTCTGAGACAAGATGTCGCAGGCTCATCTTGAATGTTTCCCTCACTTGTCCTTGAATCAGCCCTTTCTCCAAAAAGCCCTAGCTCCTTTTATTGAAGAATGGTATTAGATACCAAGATTGGACCCTTCTGTTTTATTTTGTGCATTTAAAAAACAAAATGCAACAAAAAATCTATTTAAAAAAACAGCACTTTTTAATTTTGTCCATTTAAAAAAATGCAACAACAAAAACAAACAAACAAACAAACAAACAAAAACACACAAAAAGCCAGCAATGGCAAAGGCAAATGACCTGCCAGAGAATAGCATCCCTGTATGTTGGGTCATACAGGGAGTTCCTCATTCCACATGTAGGAGAGGCACTGACAAAGGGGCCCCACATCACACCAAAGTACATTCCTAGCCACTGGACTCATTTCTATCTTAGGAGCCCTCGAAAATCGGATGTGACTCCCTTTCCTAGGCCAAGTTTTTTCCTTTATTTTAAGTGTTGAGATAGAAACTTCAGCATGCTAGGTCAAAGGTATGCTTCCTGATGGTCTATTCTCTTACCAAGAAGAATTTTTAAAAAGTCATGGACCACCCACAGGTGCATGAGATTTCTTCTTTGTTCAAAAGTCCCAGCAGTTGCTTGAAGGGTAGGATGAATGCCCATGGTTTGCCCTGCAACTGGCTGACTTATTCTAATTCCTTCAATTGCTTTATCTGACCAGAAATGGTGGGCAGTGGTAAGAGCCAACTCTATTTGTATTACTTCTTCAGAGGTGGATTCAACAAACAGAACCTTTTTAAATAAATATTAAAATTGCGAGCAAGCATTAGGTCTTAGGGTTATTATACACTCATGCAAACAGGAAACTATCCACCATCACTATCCTCACCATCATCACCATTGTCACATCACCATCCTTCTAGGGAAGGGTCATGAGGATCTTTGTGCGATTTGCTTAAAGACACAGAGGGAACATTGGTGACTTGCCAAATCTTACTTTTCCCCCACCAAAATCATTATCTGTATGTTGGTTGGAGGGGTCTAAGCCTGTAATGGAGAATTTAGCCAAGGTCCTTCTAGAGACCACTGCCCACCGTTGTTGGAGACTGCTACCACCAGCCTCTCCATCACAAGCCATGCAGCACAGCGTATCATTCCTAGAAGGACTGTCAGGGCGACGCGTGGTGCACCACCTGGGAGGACAGGCAGGGTAACATGTAGCCCTTGTCACACTCGGCAGGTGAGGGAACCGTGCCAATGTCACGGTCACTGAGTCACAGCTGGTTTCTGGTCCCCTCCTTTCCACCACTGAGTTGTCTTTGAGATTATTTCTATAGTACTTAGCAGAGCATAACTAATTTTTCAAATGCTAAACACAGAATAAGATGATATCTCTGTCAACAGTAGCTTCTGACTAACATTGGGTCTCTTGCCAGAGCCCCAGATTCTGCATCCAGATAGCCCTGGGCAACCAGGGTGCTCACTTTTGACTGATTTCATTGTAAATTCATTTCAGTGAATTTAAATTCATTTCCACACGTCCCACTGCACCCTCAATGCCGCTCAGCAGCCACACCTTAGTTCATGAACACGGCCTCCTCTATCCTCACACTCAGGCTTCTGGCATCATGGAGAAATTAGAAGCCATCAGAAGAGACCTTTTGTAAGTTCCCATCTCCACATCCACCATCCCCCCCCTCCCCACACACACACACCAGATCGGGGCCATTATACTCTGCTTTGCAATAAAATAGATGAAAGGTCTGAGTTTCCCTGAAGCCTTGACCCAACCCTCCCACCCACCCGCCTCCATTCACTAAAATCATCCCCTCTCACCTTCTAAAGTCCTGATGCTGCCAGCTCTCCAAGCACGCCCCTGAATCATCCTTCTTTCCCTCTCTGCTGGATTATTTCCCTCAGCATTAAAGTATGTCTCTCCTGTCTCAAAATATATGTGTGTGTGAATGTGTGTGTGTGTGTGTGTGTATAAATATATAAATATATATATAAAATATATAAAATTATATAATATATATATAAATAAGTATTTATATATATAAATACTTTTTAAAAAGCTTTAATTGTGGTAAGACACATGGCATAAAATGTACCATTATACCCACTTCTAAGTGTACAGCTCTGTAGCAAGTATATTCACATTGCTATGCATTCCATCTCTAGAACTTCACCTTGCAAAACAGAAACTCTGTCCCCATTAAACAACTCCCCATTCCCTCCTCCCTCCAACCCCTGGAGAACATTATTCCACTTTCTGGTTCAGTGATCTTGACTCTTCTAGGTAACTTAAATGAGTGGAATCATGCAATACTTGTCTTTTTGTGTCTGGCTTATCTCACTTAGCAAATATGTTCAAGACTCCTCCATGTTGTAGCATGGGCCAGAATTCCCTTCCTCTTCAAGGCTGAGTAATATTCCCTTGTGTGTACATATCACCTTATGTTTATCTATTCATCTGTCAGTGGACCCTGGTAGTTGCTTCCTTGTGGACTATTGTGAGTTGTGTTGTTATGAGCATGAGTGGACAAATACCTCTTGGAGATCTTGCTTTCAATTCTTTTGGCTATAGACCCGGAAGTGGAATTGCTGGGCAATTCTATTTTAAATTTCTTGGGGAACTGCTCTACTGCACCTTTTTACATTCCTGCCAATGGTGCACAAGAGTTCTGATTCTCTACATCCTTGCCACATTTATTATTTTTTCATTTGTTTTTGATAGTAGCTATCCTGATGGGTGTGAGGTGATCTCCCATTGTGGGGCAAAAACTACTTGATTTGACTTTTCCTTCTTGCTATGGCTAATTTTTGGCTCCCCTTCCAGACAAGCCTCCTTGAAAGAGTTGACTTTAACTCCTGATCCCAGTGCTTCCCCTCCCATTATTTCTTGAGCTAATCCAGTCAGGTTCTCATCCCACCGACTGCACTACCCCCTCTTTGTTGAGAAGTTGCTACATCTAAAGGCCACTTCTAGTCTTCCTTGTGATCAGAGCTTTTGACATGGCTGACCACTCTCTCCTTCATGAAACACTTTCTCTGGCTCCTACAAGGACCTACTCTCTCAGTTTTCTTTCTACTCAACTGGATGTCTTTCCTGGTTTCTTTTGCTGGTTCCTCCTTGTCTCTCCAAGACTCTACATGTTGGAGTCTTGCAGAGCTCTGTGCTTGAATTTTTCTCTTCTCCATCTGTACTCCTTCTGTTCTTCTCTGATGAGCTCACCCATTATCATGGCCTTAAATATCAACTCCATATTGATGATTCAATATGGGGGGGTCTGCATATATGGGTGGGGTCTGCAAATATATTAACAACAGAATACACACCCTTGCTACTAAAAATATGGCCAATGGACTAGCAACATCAGGACTGCCTAGAAGCTTGTTAGAAATGCAGAATCTCGGGCCCCATCCCAGACTTTCTGAATCAGAATTGATATTTTAATCAGATCCCCCAGGTGAGTGATTGCACCTTAAATTTGAAAAACAGTGGAGTAGTGGCTTCAACCTGAATTACATACTAGAATCATATGAGTACCTTTTAAAACTCCTGATGCCTTGGTCCCACTCCCAGAGAATGATTTAATTGGTCTGGAGTAGAGAACAGACACAGGTCAGTGGTGAAGAGGTAAAGTGACTGAATTATTCATTATAATAATGATGATGATTATTATATATTATGTAATATATATTATATAATATATAATATATATAATATAATAATATATAATACATATTATTATATATAATGATGAATAATGATAATAATTATTCATTAATTATTCATTATTTTTTGGTGGATTAGACAATTTTCTGTCAAACCTTGTTATGGAGAGTGACTTGTTGGCATTGACATAATCAACTGACCAGTCATCTCTATTTTATTCCATATCAACAAATTTCAGCTCCTCATTTTTTATTTCAAACAAGTCCTTCAAGGTGGCTGCTTCTCACCACCAGAGAATACACTCATGTCCACACTTGGGCTGCCCTTGACAGTTTCTGCTATAGGAAATAAGCGCTGAGTAGTACGGCAGCCTCTTGGAGGAACGGTTTCTGGTCTCTTTTCCAGCGATCTTTGTGAGCTGATAGCTCAGCAGAGAGTGAGGAGAGCTTCCAAATTGGTCCCTGGGTACCTGTTGGGAAAGCTCTGTCCACAGGATTCTAGGGATTTGCAGCATGGGTACCGTCCCCTCCCCTAAATTCTGCACTCAGACGGTTCACAGGCTTCAACGGTCATACCTCTTGTGTTCCCACACTCACTGCCTGACACCAGTCATTTCCTGGGTAGATCCACTCTAAGGGTAAGATGCAGAGCTGATCTCTGAATTTGACCCCAGACATGAATCTCTATCACAAACTTGAATCTGAAGTTCAACCCCTTAGCTGCACAATAGAAAGTTGTGGAAACATGATAGAGTAGCAATTGGTAACCTGATGTCCATGAAAAATTAGGGGCAAGTGTAGAGTGTATTTCTAGATTTTCCTTGACCAAATGGGCTCTGTCTTGCAGCTCAAGTCTCGGGTTCTTATGACTCCTTTAGCCCTCTCACCTCCGCGGAGCACACCGGAGCCCGACCTCAGCTCCATCCCTCAGGATGCAGCCACCATACCCAGCTTGGCGGCCCCACAGGCTCTCACAGGTAGGTCAGTTGAATGACCTCTAAGGCTGTGATGGCCAACCCGCTGTCTAGCAGATGCTTTGTGAACTGGAGAGCTGCCATTGAGATAGCTCTAATGAAGGATTTAGTCCTTAGCTAGACAGCAGGGAGGACGACCAAATTCTCTGAGAACATTAGCTTAAGTGTCTTACAAATAGGATTACTTGAAACTTGGTTTTCAAGGCACCTCAAACTTGGTTTTCAAGGCACCTCAAATTCAACCCGGTTGCACTGGGGTGGGACTAGAAAGGGTGGTTTGGTGGCCCAGTATTTTCTTTTCAGAGCCACGTTTACTTTTCACCCAGTGAACCTGCTTACCTTGAAGAGTTTCCAACCCTGTGTTTGTGATTCCAGATCTCTTAAGGATCCTAACTTCCCTTAGTCCCACCTGGTGTCTCCAATCCAGTCAGAGTAGAATTCAGTCCAGTCTTTCTTATGGGGTGTCCGGCAACAAACATTTCTATTGTAAGAGTACCAGCAGTAGGATGGCATCTCTCTCTCTCTCTCTCTCTCTCTCTCTCTCTCTCTCACGCACACACACACACACAAGTCCCTTTTGAATACTCCTTTGCCCTAGTGGTAAGATCCTCAAGGTAAGATCCTCATAACCTGGGATGGGGGCATGGAATAGAAGAAAAGTCATTGCCATGGGGAAGAAAATGTGACACCTGCCATTAATACTTATTTTTATCTCATCCTTTAAAATTTTCTATTTCTTGGTTATGTTTTAAGATGCATGCAATATATTAAAACAGTCCAGAATGTATATATCCTATGAATAAATAAGCACATTTTGGGCATGTGCTCAAATATACAGGTGGGGTCTATGACTTTTAAAAGTGTGGGGACCATTGGTTGGGCTCACCTAAATGGGCAGCTGCATATTTAATATCTCTGAGATTATAAATAGCATTCTCTTTAGAACTTCTTTGAGTATATAGTCTTTGGAGTAATCAGCATAGTTTGAATTTTTTTTTTCAATGCAAGTTAACAACAACAAAAAAAATCAGCAAATATTATGTGTAGTTTAACAGCTCCTTTGGAGGGAGGGGGGGAGATTTTGTATGTGTACCTGCCCAGTATGGAAATACATTTATACACATGGTCCACGCTGACCTCCATAATTGTTTCAATCCCGACTTGAGTACATCAGAGGGGACCCACCTGCCTATCTGTTTCCAACCAAGAGGTTCTCTTGATAGTGAGCCCCGGAAGTTGGGGTTGATGGGCTCTTTTGCCTCTTGTTCATCTCAAGTTGGGAAGAATCAGTCCCACCTTTGTTTTTTCCAGCTTTCCCAAGGGCCAGGAGGGCACAGCTGAGGCATCCCTCATGCACACAGGAACAGCCCCCTGGCCTGACGCAACCGATGCTGAGGGCTTTGTGGGTCTCTGTTTCTACAGTCTGCCTCTACATCAATAAGCAAGCCAATGCAGGGCCGTACTTGGAGAGGAGGAAGCTGCAACAGCTCCCTGAACACTTTGGGCCCGAGAGACCATCGGCGGTCTTGCAGCAGGCTGTGCAAGCGTGCATCGACTGTGCCCACCAGCAGAAGTTGGTCTTCTCCCTGGTCAAACAGGGCTATGGCGGTGAGATGGTGTCAGGTAAGGCCCTGGGGCAGGTTTTGTGAGGAGGGTGTGGGTGTCTCTCTGAAGAGGGAAGAAGCCATAATCAGGCTTGGGGGACAGTGGTTGTAGCCGGGGTCTGTCTTCCATCTGCTGGGCTCTGGGGGCCTTAACAATAAGCCTGTGTGCTGGAGGTCTCTCTCTGGGCTCAAGGAGAAGATGCTTCCGGACCTGGACAAGAAGACTGAGCAGCTGAATCCTCTTTCACTGCCCCCTACTTCCAGGTCATCAGTAAATCCTATTGCTCTTACTTCAAAATGTATCCAGAATCCAGCCACGTTTCACCACTCAGAGCAGCCACTCTGATTCTTTAAAAGTCAAAGTCAGATCATGACCCTCCTCTGCCCTACACCTTCCATGGTTCTCATGTCACTCCAAGAGAAAGCCCACGTCCTTACGAGGACCCAGAGGTCCTAAGTGACCTGGCTCTGGCAACCTCTTTGATCTCCTAGTCAATTCTCCTGAGTCCCCACTCTGCTGAAGCTACAGTGGCCTCCTTGCTGTTCCCTCTGCTATCTCCAGCCACGCTCTTGCCTCAGGGTGTTTGTCCCTGCTGATCTATCTGGAATGCTCTTCCATTGGCTGTCCATGTGTGACTTGCTCCCGGAATTTCTGCAGGTTTCAAATGGTGCCTTATCCAAGAGCCTTATTCTGACCACTCTGTCTAAATATCAGCCCTTGTCACTATCTGCTCTGCTTTACTTTACCTCATTCTTTCTTCCTGTCATGTATCACCACACAGGGCAGTGGGGAAGCTCATGGTTCCAAGCACCTCTCAAGGGCTGGGTTGTTGGTTTTTTAAAAGATGCTTCAAGGTCATTCTCTTCTCCCATTGTCACCACTGTCCTCCAGTTTCAGCCCCACCCAAGGCCCTCTACACAACTGTTGTCACCACCTGCCATTAAGCCCTAGAACGCTGGGTCTTTGCAAGATGTCTTGATTCCAAGGGGACAGACTGGTGTTGTCTTTGGCCCAGCCTCAAGGTCATGGCCTCCATATCACCAGGGAATAGGGAGAAGATTCCCCAGAAATTGGGGTGGTGCAGGTGACCCTGCCAACTGTCTAAGGGAAGGGGGGAGGGGTGACTTTAATGTCTCTGGGCATTTTGTTTAACCCTAGATCTCCAGGGCTTTGGGGGCATGGAAGTTGTCCAACACAGCTTCCCCAGCTGTGATTGGTTCTGCCCACCTTCTGGAGCTCCCTCTGAGCAGGAAGCTGGGTCTGACTTGCTGGTAACTGATTAAAATAGAACTTGGCAAAGTTCAGGTGCCATGTGTCTTACCCAGGGTGACTTTTAAGAAACTTTAGCAGAAGCAGAGACAAGAGGAAGAAGTACTGCACTGGGAGAGGCCAGGAGGAGGGTCTTATCAGCCTTCTGAGAACCCACTGGACATTCTTCTCCAGATTCTTGTCTGAGAGCCAGGTTCACAAACCTTGTTCTTTTCCTTGATGAGTAGCAAGTGTCAAGACATAGACATGGTGCTAAGAGAAAGCTGTTCCTGTACCATGTGCCCATCCTCTTGAGCAAATCCCATCTAACTGAGCTCTTTGCAGCTCCTCTCCCTCAGCTGGGAGAGCCAACCCCATCTTCCCTGCTCTCCTGCTCAGTCTTTCTGTGGCCACAAGGGCCTTGGCACTTGGGGGCAGGTTCTGCAGTGCCTGGTGCCAACACAAGCCTGGACAGAGCCCTGCTGCCGACTTTTCCTTGGCTGAGGGATTCCCAGAGTCCAGAGCTCAGCATGTGGTCTTAGTGTCTTGGAGAATGCAGTAGCCCTGAGGACTCCTTATGCTACCTCCTTGAGGTTGCAAAGTGGCAAGGTGGTCTTTCACATTACCAATGGTGGTATGGAAGCTCAGAGAGCTTATGATAGCCCCAAGATGGCTCAGGGAGGGACTCAAGGAGAAATAGTTAGACTCTCCCACTTTGTTCTTATCCTTAGTACTCTCCCACTTTGTACTTAACCTAATCCTTAGGGCACTGCTTTCCCAATGTTCCCATGGCACAACACAGGAAATGGTGATATTGGTGCTGGCACAGTGGGGAAAAGGAACCACACTGCCATGGGTGGGCCTAGGGCCATCCCGAAGTCTAAAGGAGCAGTATTGCAGTTCCCCATAAGCCTCGTGCTCTGCCCGAGCCACACTATCCCAGAGGGGTTGACCTCATGGTGTCATAAATGCCACATCTGCTTTTAGCAGGTGGCCCTTCCAGGCACCTCTGGGAGTGTATGCACACTGATCTATGGGACAGACCCAATGACCCCAGTGTCTCCTTTTGTGGGTTCAGTTTCCATCACGCTTGGTCTTCTAAAATATTGGAGGCCAACGGCAATGCTCACACTAAGGGAATTTCCAGAGTGTCTGAGTGGCTAGGATAAACCCTTTAGGTGGGCACATGGCAGCTCTTTGCTGGCTCTCCCAAATAGAGTCACCCAGAGTGTTATTGTGACAGGCTAGTGCCACTTAGAGGCCATATGAGCCGGAAAAACCACTCTATGCCCTGTTCTCAATCTCCTCACCTATAACATGGGGTAATAACCTCTCGTCTACTGTCCTCACGGGATAGTCAGGAGGGCTGAATTAGGGGATGAATATGAAGGCTTTTGTCAAACTATAAAGAGCTATACACACACAAAAAAATGGATTCTTTTGATTTCCTAATTAAAATGGGCTGTTTTGTTTTAGTTCTAAAATCAAAACTAGTCCTAGTGTTGCCCCTGCCCCAGCCCCTGCCATGTTCCTGCCTTTGGGAGATAAAACATGAAAAACAGGGCTGCCCTCTAGGTGTTGGCAATGAGTGGCCAAGGCCTGGCTGGGAGCAGAGTGTCCTCTTAGGGTCTGCTCTAGTGTTCCTCACCATGAAGCTGGTATTCAAGCTTCATGGGGTGAGAGAGACCATGAGGACAATTACAGAAGTTAACATATTTCTTCTAAAGCTAAGTTGGAAGTTAACATATTTCTTCTAAATCTGGAAGTTAACATATTTCTTCTAAATCCCAGTAACCCTGTAGACATCGAATTTCATCTAGAATCACCATGGAAAAATTATTGTTCTTTTTGAAGACACCTTCCCAGAAGAGCAGAAAGAACCCTGAATTCTGTGTTGCTGGGTTAGATCTAGAGACCTCAGCATGGACTCAGGTTTATTTGGATATCTATCTATCTAGATCTAGACCTACCTATCAGTCTACTGACTGACCTAGCTCTATCCATCTCTCTCTCTCTCTAAACATATATACAGAGAGCAACATAATCATAATAGGATTGTATACATGCATATATTTCTTAGCTCTCTCCATTGAAAAGAACCCAGAGTTACTGACACTCCAGTAACAATGAGCATATCTAGTGCCCAAATCTTGATTTCTAGATATCACACTTTCGTAACAAGGAATTGGAGCCATTGGAGAAATGGCTGGTTTTAGGGCAGGGGCAGGGAAATTGAAGATGAATCTGAAACATATTGAGTTTCAGTAACCAACAAGTTGTTAAAAAAAAAAATGGGGGCATGTCATAGGGATACAGAGCACTAGAAGTCCCAAAGACAAAAGATGGAACAATTTGAGCAACAAAATAAATAACATAGTGTTGTATAACCTGGCACAAAATAAATATATGGGTCTATACTGATATTAATAAATGATTGAATAAATGAATGAGTGAATGGAGGAAAGTGGACAGTTCTTTCTTATAGAAGAATTCTGAATGGTAGAGAGACTCTTCCCTCCTCAGGAGGTAGAGCTTAATCCTCCACTACCCTTGAGTGTGGGCACAACCTTTTGTTGTTTGGAATGGAATATGGGGAGTACAGTGGAGAAGTGCAGCAAACCCCATCTGGCCAGGCGATGAAGGCTGACATCCCAGGGATGTCATGTGGACATGACGTATCTCTGATCTGATGCGATGAGAGGGGCACTTCCTGTCTTCCCCCAAAACATTAACCCCAGTCAGATCATAAAAAAACATCAGATAAACCCCAACTGAGGGACATTTTACAAAATACCTGACTGATACTCTTCAAGAAAACTATCAAGGTAACTCGAAACAAGTAAAGACTGGGAACCAGTGCCAAACCAGAGGAGACTCAGGAGATATGACAACTAAACGCAGGGTAGGCTCCTGGGTGAGATCCTGGAACACAAACAGGGCAATGAGTGAAGAAACAGGTGAAATCTGAATAAAGCTTAATTAAAACCAAGGCACAACTGCACAAACAAAAACCTCCTCCCATGGCCCTGTGGCTTTCTTGTGCCCCACTCTGAGTGGCTGTCTCTGTGGCTTTCCAGTCTCAGCATCCTTCGATGGGAAACAGCACCTGAGGAGCCTGCCTGTGGTGAACAGTGTTGGGTATGTCCTTCGCTTCCTCGCCAAGCTGTGCCGAAGCCTCCTGTGTGATGACCTCTTCAGCCACCAGCCCTTCTCCAGGGGCTCCAGTGGCTCTGGGGAAGCCCAGGAGAAGAAGGAAGGCAGGATGGAGTCAGGTAGGCTTTGTTTGTCTGTCTTCCCTGTCCCTGAGGTGGTCCCAGGTGTCTCTGCCTTCCTGGGAGCTGAAGGCTCCCAGGCTGCCTATCTGTCATCCCCCACCCCGGGAGAGCTCAGGCATGGCCAGGACCCAGGGTATCTAGACAGTTCTCACCCAGGCTGCAGCGGGAAGAGATTGCCCCAGGTACTGGAAGCTGACGTTATAGCTTTCAGACTTATGTTGCTAGAATTTAGATAATGAGACCACATCACATATAATAAATTATTTTCTTCACTCTTCTCTAATTTAGACTCTTGGGCACTTATCTTTCACTGTTGAGTCATGGAAAGACTATGACACTAAGGAACTCAGAAATCCTGAAAAAACTAGGGCTACGAAATAGAGTCTTGCCTGGGGGCCTTGCCTGGGGGCCTCAGATACCCACTCATGTCAATAAATAGAGTGATTGTTGCTGCAGGGATTGGACCGAGCCATGAATCAAATACGTTTTTCAGCGTTTTTCAGTAAGAGTTAGTGTTTCTCTCTCATCACAGGATGGAAAGTGATCCAGGGGCTGAGTGCTTTTTGTTGCAGAGTAGCTTAGCATGGGGAAGTTGGAGGAAAGGATAGTAAGGGGCCACACATTATGTGCTAGATACCTCCACTTAGCAGCCCTGAGTTATGGGTTTGTGAAAAGTTGAACATGACTCTAGGCTCTGGATTTCAGTTTACCAAGAATGAGCCAAAATGTTGCCTTTCTTCTTTCTCTGGAAGCAGTATTGTTGATATATAAAGAACACATAGCCAGTGAAACTGGAATCTAGTCATTGTGTCATTCTACAAACATTTGCTGAACACTCTTCTGTTCCACACACCTTCTGTTCCAAGGTCTCTACAGGAGACCTCGCATTGTGTTAAGACAAATACATGAGCTAGGGAAAGTTTTTGAATTATAAAGTGACCACTACAGATAATGAAAAATAAATACATTTGCAGGTATGGGCTTACAGATAGAGCCTTCAACAGAAAGATGCTTATAATAAGCGTGGCTATATTTTGAGCTTAAGAGGACAGCAGGGAAGGATAAATCTAGATTCTTAGCATAGATTTTTTTTTTTTTTAGATACTGTCAAGAACTCCATTTACAATTTTATCTGTCTGAGATCTGGGAAACAGGAAGAAATTTGGCCTTTGCAATGAAAGCTGACTAATTAAATATAGTCTATGTGAGCCAATACCACATGCATTTGTGGTTTTTGTTTTTGCTTTGTTTTGTTTGTTTGTTTGATATCTCTATATGTGCAAACTTGGGAAAATCTTTTCTTCTCTCTGGGCCTCCGTTTCCTAAATGAGGTGTTGGGGTTGCTTGTGCACAGTGTTCCTTCTAGTTCTGACAGTATGAATCTGGCCTCTCCTGTAAGTCTTAGCTGACTCAGGAACATATCCTAAAGCTAATGTATTTTCTAGTGAATCTTGTAATGAGAAGAGCAGAATGGTCTTATTTCGCTGTGCAATCCATTAAATCACTGTTACATTGAATAAGCAATGACCCATAAGATGTAATCATAAAGCCATGTCTCTCATGCTTTAAATATATCCTGTGGGACCACTTTGCTCCTATCCATGGATGAAATTTTGGACAAATCTTGTAACTTTTTTTGCTCCTTCAAGTAACAAAACATTCTCTAGTCAATAACTGATATATCTAGGTCAGTGTAATAATCGAACTTAATATTTCACACAAAGGTATAGCTACTTCCTGTTCTCAGTTCAGCCTGCTTAAGGACAATTGGCTTCTCTCTCCACCTCACACCTAATGTTGTGTTTTTGCCCCCTCCCACATCTAACTAATAATGATTTTGAATCCTTCATGACCAGAGTAAGGGAAGGAAGAGAGGCAAGAGGTAGGAGCGTTTTTACTCGACTAATCCTGCTGTGAGTTGGCATCATACTCCCAAGTTCTAGCAGGTGTTGAAAGCTGATTCTTTATCCTATGGGCTCTTACATGGACATTTTGGTGATCCTACCATCTCTCACCTGCACTTTCCCAGACATGGACAAATATAATTCTTCTCTGGTTGGCTACCTGTTCACTTACAATTCCTTCCACAGCCCCAAATCTACAGGTAGATCTCTAGCTTCTTTCCGCAGAAGCCCGCTTTTGCCACCAGACAGTCCCACAGAAAGAACCTCAAATGATCTTACTTTTTTTTAGAAAAAGGGGAGGGGGGAGGGAAAGGCAGAGGAAGAGGGAGTGAGAGAATCCCAAACAGGCTCCACACCCAGTGCAGAGTCCCACATGGTGCTCAATCTCATATCCTGAGATTATGCCAGAGCCAAAATGAAGAGTCAGATGCTTAACCAACTGAGCCACCCAGGTGCCCCAAAATCTTACTTTAGATCTCTCTTCTGATGGCCGACATCTGGTCCCTGAAAAACACTACACATCCTTTGGCCAAACAAACTCTGGGCATGCAGACTGCCATCGGAGTTGCCAGATTTTTTGATTTCTCATGGGAATCAAACAATAATCCATTGTGTCTCTCAAGCTCCAGGGACAGAAATCAAGCTAGTCACATGGCCACACTGAAGCCCTTGGGAATACATTAGACAGTTCTCTCCATAATTCATCACCAAGTTAACGTGTTTCTCAACCTCTACATTTCTTTTGCAGGCTGGGTGTAGGTGGTCACCTATAGGTATAAAACTGGCTTTCCACCATCTTTTTTTTTTTTTTTTCCCCAAGATCTGCACACTTCACTCTACCTTGGGGTGTCTGTTGTCTTGCAGCCTCAGCCAAAACTGAAACTAAAATGGTTTCATTTCAACATCCTGTCTCAGGAGCCTCCCTTCAACTTTCCTTACATGATTACTGAGGAAACTCTTGCCTTGGTTTCTACTATAGTCTCTCCCAAGTTCACCATGCTGGAGGAAGTTCCAGAGCTTTCCCTGGAGCAGTGTTGCTGCCTCACTTCTTCCCTTGATTGAAACAGTTATTTCTACCCCAAAGCTGCTTTCCTTCCTAATTGGTCTGGCTTTGGAAGCAATGACTCGAATTGTCTTCATGAGCTCTTCCCCAGCCCATGGCTGATTTGAAAAAAATGAATTGCTCCAAACCAGCCAACCTTGTGGACATTGTTTCTCATGCCCTAGGTGCTGCAGAACCGGAGTGTGTCTCACGTGTCTGGGAGCCTCAGGGAAGGTGGAAGAAGCAGCTATGTCACTATAGGCTCTAAACGACCCCCTTTCCACATGTCTTTTCCACCAGTCAGCCTCAAATGACACCAGTAGAGAGTTTGCCTTTAGATTAAGACATTGTCTCTTTAGGACTGCCTTGTACAATTTCCTTTAAAGGGTAACACATCAAATTATTATCACTTCAGATGAAGAATTAGCTTCTCACCCCCTCCTTTCCCACTACTGTGGCAAGAAGCACACATATAAGAGGGGAAGGATGGAGGCCATAGTTGATTTTAGGCTCCAGATCCCTCCAAAGGACCACATTGTTCCTAAACACGACTGCACAGTCTTGAGTTCATTTGAACCAGGTGGTTCTCTGCCCCAGTGCGGTTCAGTTAGAGCTATAACCTATCAGGGTTTGTCCACGCTCATTAGAGCATTTCCAGAAGACAGTTAATCAGATGATAAGAAAAGGAAAAACCATGACAGCTAAGGAACTATCAAAGAAACAAGGTCTGTGGCCAAAAAATGGACAATTTGGTGGAAGCCATGATTTTCCGATCCACTGTATGACAGCAGGTCATGCAGACCTGTTCTCGGTGGTTCTGGTGGTAGATTTAATCAAATCTTAGGTCTTGCTACTCAAACTCTGGTCAGTTCTCACCTGAGAAGGGCAAAAGCTCAGAGGTCCTCCTACACTCTTGAACAAGAAACCCCAGGTGTTCTGAAGACACATGATAGTTTGAGAAGCAAGGATTTAGGGTAATACTCTCCCAGCTAGACAATGTGGCAGCTGAAAAGCTAGGTGGAACTCCTACCAGCTGGCGCCCTAGGGGTCAGGTGCGGTTGTATTCGTAAGGAACTTGGCAAAGTCAAAGCCATTGAAGTAGAGATCTACTATTCTAGAGATCACTACCATTCAGTGAATGCTTGAATGGTAGTGATCTCCCCATTACTGGTGATAAGGGCAGAGGCCCACTTTTTAGGACCATGAGGGGGAATGCCAGCAACTCAAAACAGAAGTAGGAGCAAGATGTCGCTGCAGGAGTGTTAGAGGCTAGCTTTGGGCAGAAGGGGCCCCAGAAGCACCAGTGAGGGACCCCCCACAGGTGAAAGTGAGGATACCAAGACAGAGCAGCTCACATTGGAAGAGATAGAGGCCATCTTCCACATCTCTTTCTCAGAGAGTTCAAATAGAAACTTTCTCCTGTGATCTTTTTCTTATGTCTGAGGAAAAACCAGACTACCTACTAGGCTGCCTGCATCCAGTCTGGAAGGTGTCAAGTTCTTGGCTTGAAATCAGGAACTTGGGTCATTTCCCTTAGTTCTATTACCTGACAGCCACACGTGGTGTGTGTTTTAGGAAGTAGAGCAGCTTTCTGGTGCTTTAGGAGAATGGAGGGAGAAACGCAGATTTGATAGCACTTGTTCTGTCAAAAGCCGTGGGATGATCACAGGGAAATTTTACCTTACCTCGAATCCTGAAAAGAAAAGCCCGCAATTATAAATACACTTTCGCCAGTGTTTTCCAGACTTAGTGTGCTCAGGAACCACCTGGTGTTTTGTTAAAGTGTGGATTCTAGCCTCGGTGGGGCTGGCCTGGGGCCCGAGAGTCTGCGTATGTAACAGGTGTGCCCGTAGACTGGTGTTGCCGCCGGTCAGCGACCACGCTTAGAATGATAAAGCATGGGCTGGCGGAGTTCTGGCTGCCTAGGGAAATGTATCATTTATTTCAGGTTTTTAGTAAAATAAGTCTATTTGCACTAGGACAATGACCACACACACACTGTACAACTGTTGCCACCAAAGATGAACCAATGCCCACGGAGAGGAGAGGGA